ACTTCATCTGGGATTCAACAAGAAGAGGAAGGGCAAAAGACACAGCATGAGGAAAGGCACAGATGTCTGAAATAGCACAGAGGAGAATTCAACATGGTTCAAGTGTTGAGGGTCAATGGTGGGAGATGAAGTGAGAGATTTGAGGCCCATTGTGGGGACACTGTCACATTAAGTAGTGTGGACTTTATCCAGAAGACAATGGAGACACAAATGGCAGGAAATGTCCCCATCTGGATAAACCCACTGCTATCAAGCTTATTCCAACACATAGTGACTCTATAGGACAGAGTAGAACTGCCCCATAGGGTTTCCAAGGCTGTAAATCTTTATGGAAGCAGATCACCTCATCTTTCTCCCATGGAGCAGCTGGTGGGTTCAAACCACTGGACCTTGTGGTTGGCAGCCAAATGCTTTAATCACTGTGCCACCAGAGCTCCTCATCAGGATAAGGAAGAGATAAATAACCAGCAGCCTGCCTTTGGCTTATACACACAAAACCAGGCTCTGGCTGGTTGAGCTTCCCCTCTGTTCCTGAAGCACACTGAGTTCTGGCTTGTCTCTGGCTTTGTTTCTGCTGTTCCCTGGTGTACTCCACGGGGTCTTCCACCACCTAACCTCCACGTCCAGACCACACCCTTAGCTATTCACTACATATTAGCCCTGTTTAGTTCCTTCACAGCGTTTTTCACAACCTGATCATCTCGCTTCTGTATTTACCTGTTTATTGCCTCCTCTACTGGAAAGTAAGTTGTGTGAGAGCAAGTACTTTGCCTTGTTCATCACAGTATCACCCGTGCCTCGAACAGTAACTAGGACATAGTAAGATGTAAAATATTGAAAGAATTACTAATTAATGAATGTATTTCCAGGGTTCCAGCTGCAATTACACCTCTTTTTCTCTCACTGCAGAAAGGATTTTTTTTTTAATTGCTGTCAAGTTGATTCCAACTCATGGCAACCCCATATATGTCAGAGTAAAACCGTGCTCCGTGACGTTTCAGTGGGTGATTTGTTTTGGGAAATTAGATCACCAGGCCTTTCTTCAGAGGTTAGGGACATTTCAGGGTAAGTTATAAATAAGGATGGTTTGTTACTTTTTGCTTAGCTAGGATTGGTCAATGGACTTTGCAAATGAGGTGACTATAGCCTATGCAAATGAACTGTCTGTAGCCTACATGCAAATGAAGTGTATGTAGCCTACCAAGCGGTCAGTTTGTGCCCACCCCCACCACACGACTGAGAGGGGCGATGCCTTGAAATGGACAAGGAGTTGTAGCTATAAGCATTTAAGCCCACAGAAGTTTCAGAAGCAGAAGGAAGCAGGAAGAGACAAAAAGAAACAGGAAGAGAAGCAGAAGGAAGAAAGAAGCAGCAGAAAGAAAGAGGAGGCAAGGAAACTCTGAAGAGAGCTGGAACGGGTTGGGGGCTATACCACTGAAGGTGGCCACAGGCCTGGAAGGGGCCCAGCGGCAGAGCTGGAGGAGACAGATAGCAGGGCCAAGAGAAGCCTGTCTTCAGGGAGCCAAGAGAAGGCCTGCACTACCAAGAGCAGCTAAGAGAGCTGTCCTGCACTGAAGAAGGGCGACACTGCCTGTATGCTTCCTGATCCCAATTTGTATCTGTTACTTCCTTAATAAACCACTTAACTCTGTAAGTTCTGTGTGGCCATTGCAATGGATTATTGAACCCAGAAAAGAACTAGAGATAGCCATGAGAGGGACGGCTGGTATCAGAATTGGTAAAATGGTTGGAGAGTGGAGGTATGTCAGACCTCCATGTCATGGGAGTCAGCTTTGGGCTGACCCTGATCATTATGCCTCCTGAAGTCAGACAGGTTCTCACACTATTTCTACCAATACTACTACTATCCCTGCTATTTTACAGCATTAATTTTACAGTACAGACTTCTGGCTGTAGGAAGCGGATGTTTCCTGGAGAAGACATTAGTGTTTGCCTTGAGAGATGGGGAGACTTTCACAAGGCAGAAATGGGGGAAGGATTGTTTCAAGGCAAAGGAACAGCATTCGTGAAGATCTGGAAATTGGGAAACACTCTTAAGGAACAACGCTTGGTGGAGTGTAGGGTACATGAAGAGCAGTAAGATTAACAGTGGGAAAAAATAGACTGGGGCAGAATAAGGAGCATCAAAATGCCAGTAAGGATTTAAGCTTCAGTAAGTAGCCATCCGGAGCACTGAAGGTTTCTGAGCAAAGGAGGCACATAAGCAAATTTTGAGGATGAACCTAAGAGGGAAACAGTGGTAGGACACCAATTAGGAAGTAGTTTTAATAATCCAAGCAAGGAGAGCAAAAACGTTCTATGACAGTGACAGTAAGATAAAAAAGGAAGTAACAAATGTGCAAGATTAGAGAAGGGACGCAACAGGACTTGGTGTTGGGTTAGAGCGTGGAGAGGAGTGAGCGGAAGGAGTCAAAGATGCGTCTCATGTTTTGACACTTGGAGGATGGAGACACCATTAACTCAGATAGGGAAGACAGGAACAGGCTGGGCAGAGGAAAAGGGGGAGATAAGTTTCCTTTGGGACACGTAAGGGATTAGTCTCCTTATTCTAAAGCCAAACCAGCAAGATTTTCTGACTATTATTTGAAGCTCTGTTTAGGGATCCTTAACCCTAACAGCTTTCAAATTGTTCTGTGATCTTTTACCTACTGAAATTGAGAGATATAATTGTTGTTAAGAGATTGTAGAAATTCTCTTTAATTACTTAAGACTCCTCTATCCTCGAAAGCTATAATGTGGTGTAATTTCATCAAGAGGACAGGAAAGCCAAAAGTTAATTTCTTTGTTTAAGGAATTCAAAGCAAGAGGGAGGGGGGAAGGTAAGCAAGAACTTGTCCAACTTGGGCAAAAGTTAAAGCATCCTAGAATTGAATTTGAAGCCATGAACAGTTTAGGTCTTGTTGCTCTGACTCTGAAGAGAAGCATTAATGTTCAGGAAGTGCCATATGCCAGACACTGAGGAGGGGATAGTCAGACAGATTCTGCACTCAGAAAGGCAGTATAGTTTATACCATTGCTTCTCAGAGGATGGTCCATGGATCAGCAGTGTCAACACCACCAAGAAGCTTATTAGAAATCTCAGGCCCTACCCAGGCCTGAATCAGAATTTTCATTTTAGCAAGATCCCCAGGTGATGCACACGCATTAGTATTTGTTCAGAGTTTGGGCTTTGGAATAAGATGTTATTTAGGTTTAAATCTCAGCTTAGGCACTTTCTACCTACTTAACTGGAAGAAAAACTTGGCAATCTACTTCTGAAAATCAGTCAGTGGATATTGCATGCATCACAATGGTCCCATCTGCACTCGATTGTGGGGATGGCACAGGACTGGGCAATAGTCCATTGCTTCATGTGATCCTTCAGGCGGTCACCACGATTTGGGGACCAACTTGATGGCAGCTAACAACTTAACGATCATTTAACCTCCTGGGCCACCTTCTTCCTGTGTAAAATCAATCGATGATTTTACACTTTGATGACTTATTACAACAGCCTAGAAAGCTTTCAAAAACTCCAGACCACACTCCACACTAATTAAATTGGAATTTCTGGGGGCAAGATCCAGACACACTTTTAAAGGTCCCAGGTGATTCCAGGATGCATCCATGGCTGAGAACCAATCACTTTGAAGGACAGGAGTGTGGCCATTGAAACCAGACAATCTCCATTTGCATCCCAAATCCATAACTTCTTACGCATGATGACTGGAGTATCATAACCTATGCCAAGGAGATTTCTGCAGAACTAATGGGCATTAGTCTTATCCAAAATGCTTCCAACTGTGGGGTCCAAACAGGACAGGACTGAGAGGCAGATGACGATACCATGCTTTTAACAGCATACTAATGCTTTGGGCAACAGATCCTGTGCCTAATCTGTGTAATGTCTCACAGCAATCTCCTCACTTAATTCCAGAATGGCAGAATTGGAAGGGCCTTTATAAAGACTGGTACCCAACTACTTTAATTTTAGAGCTCTGCAAATGAGAAATCAAGGCCTAGGGAGTTGAGATGACTTACACAGGGTCACACGCAACTTAAGGCCACAACCAGAAGGTGTAAAGTCACTGTCAGAGGTACAGGAAACAGCCTAGTAGAGAAAAAGGAATTGAATGGAAGGAAGAAAAAAAAAAAAAAAGACGTAATAGTGCTTTGAACCAAAGAGCTTTATAAACACTTCAGGCTTTAACCTGCCCAGGAGGTAGATAAGCACGCTGCCTTTAGTTTGTCCTCAAATTCAACCTCTTGCAAGAGGTTAAGGAACACACCCAAGGTTGGAATTGACACTCGGACCTCTTGACTTCCTGACTTTGGAGCCGCGAGCTCAGCCTCCACCTCCCTTGTCTATCTGGAAAAACATCTGGGTGATAATGCTTGAGGATGGGATATCAAGGGGAAGTGGTGGAAGTTCGGTTCTTTAAGAAACTTTGAGCAAGACTGCATAAGATCCAGCCAGGAGGCCCCTCCCGTGTCCTGAGTCACAAGGCTCAAACCTTTCTTTACTTCTATTCTAAACGCTTCCCTTATACAATCTTTAGGGAAATCTAGTTGCCTGAGATGTTGGATGGGAAGAAAGAAAACTGAGACTTCAAAATGTGTGAAGAGACAGGCTCTGAAGACTGTCTCAGGTAAGAAAGCCTTTCCTTGACATAGTCTTTTGTCCATGATCTAATGTGGCTCCCTGGCCACTCTGGCGAAGGCTTCCCTAAAGCAAAGAGGAACAGGCAGGATCACAAGAAAAAGCAAGGGGAAGTCATCTTGAAAGGCCAAAAGGTTACATAAAACATAATAAAATACAACTGTTTCCTTTAAAATTTTTAATGGCCAGGAAATGGTATAGAATAACTGCCAAGTCACATAAATTAACTTTTCTGTGTGCGATCCCGGAAAGAACACACTATCGGACAATGCAAATTGCATGGGCGTTTTCATCAGTTGCTGTCTGGGCGCGTGACTGAGCATGGGCCATAGACCCAGCTCTACATGGTCCAGAAAAAAAGGCGGCTGCCATGTTTGGCAGGCTTCAGATCTCCTTCTACCTCAGGGTTAGGCTCTGGTCTTGGTCTTGAGTGATAGGGATTCTCCGGTAAAGGTCGATCTGTTTTCACTTTGGTGACCTGGGGCAAGTGAAGAGGAAAGAAGCAAAGTTGAAAGTTAGAGGGAGTAGCCTGGGGTCATGAATGTGCTTCCTGATGTTTGCTCCTGCTGCTCCAACCACAACTCTAGTTAAAAGCCCCAGCCAATCACATGCAGACTTACTTAATCCTTAAATCAACATTTAAGAAACCTATTCTGTGTCATTCCTCATGGTAAAAGTAAGGGATACAGAAGGCAACAAGATACCCCACTACACTTGTTCTCAAGGGAAAACTCTCAGTCTAGTGAGAGAGATGGACAAGAATATCAACCAAGACTCCCTAACCTAGTGAGGAGCATAAATGAGACACGGACTGAGTGCTGTAGGAGCAAGGACTCTGCATAGCTAATCCTTCCTGAAGGACAGGGGTTTGCAGTACCACAATCAATGTCCATGGAAGCAGCCGTCAAGAAATCAAATGATGGACTGCACTGAGCAAATCTGCTGCAAAAGACCTCCTCAAAGTGTTAAAGAACAAAGATGTCACCCTGAGGACTAAGGTGCACCTGGTCCAAGCCACCTCATATGCATGCAAAAGCTGGACAATGAATAAGGAAGACAGAAGAATTGATGCCTTTGAATTATGGTGTTGACAAAGAATACTGAATATACCATGGACTGACAAAAGAATGAACAAATGTGTCTTGGAAGAAGTATAGGCAGAATGCACCTTAGAAGCAAGGATGGTAAGACTTCATCTCACATACTTGGCCATTGTTATCAGAGGCCTTATCCCTAGACAAGGATAACATACTTGATAAAGTAGAGGATCAGTAAAAAAGAGGATGACCCTCAATGAGATGGACTGACACCGTGGCTGCAACAACGGGCTCAGGCCTAGCAACAAACTATGAGGACAGAGCAGGAGCAGGCAGTGTTTTGTTCTGTTGTACACAAGGGTCACTATGAGTCAGAACCAACTTGATGGCATCTAACAACAACACTTGGCTTAGGCTTGAAGGATGAATAGGAGCTAGCCAGGAAGATTAGGGAGGCACTCCAAGCAGAAAAAACACCTATGAAGACAGATAATGTCTTTAGAATACCTGCAGCAAAGGCTACGAGAACAGTGAGGGGAGATGAAGCTCCCAACAAAGCACAGACTGTTAGGAACGATGTTCGCTATTCCCACTTCATCCTCACACTCACATGAGGTCACTCTGCAGAGGCTTACCTAGCTAACAAAAGAACTAGCATGCAAAGACAGATTGGCTGTACCTTTATAGATAAGGTGCTATCACCAGTACGCAGGAGCTAGAAACTGAATGATATGCAAGGTGGATTTAAGTATAAAAACAGTAATAATCCTCTTAAAGAAATAAACTCATTTAAAAGTTAAGACAGCTATACTTTTTAAAAAAATTAGTTTTTAAAGCGTCAAAACAAAGATTCAAGAATAAATCTGCCTTCTTAATAATATGACTTCTTATTCTCCTTTCATGAAGACAGAAATGAGAAAAAGCAGTTTTCTTTGTTAAATGTGTAAGCTCCACTTAGAACTATCCAACTTAGAACTGTGAACTACTTAATTTGTTCAGTGCAGCAAAAGAAGATATCTGAAGAACAGATGATCATGCCAGATACAAAAAACAAATATTGCCAAGCCCCTCCTCTACCTACGATTCAACTATCCACAGGTGCTATCTACGCAAAGAGAAGGGCACTAACATTGGATTTATATGCAGGCACTATGTTCACCATGGAGCTCTGGTAGTGTAGTGCCTAAGGCACTTGACTGCCAACCAGAAGGCTGGCGGTTCAAACCCACCAGCCATTCCTCGGAAGGAAGATGGGGCAATCTACTTCCGTAGTGATACTGCCTCGGAAACCCAAGGAGGGGTCGCTATGAGTCGGGTCCGGCTCGACGGCATATAACAACAAACATGTTCACCAAGGTTCACTTACTTGATCCTCACAGAATAATAAAGATTATTAGCTCCATTTTGTAGATGTAGAAGGATTTGAAATACTAAGTAATTTGCTCAAGATCCCATAGAGATGAAGTAGTGGAACCAAGATTCAAATCTACTGTCAGTCTCCTTTCGAAACCTGAGTTTTTCCTCCATGCCTTGCTACCTGTGTTTCCCCAGAGTGAATGGACGGTGATGAGGTCCAGGAAGCAGGGATAGGTCAGATCATAAAGGGCCTGGTAAGCCACGATTAGGAGAGGATATTTTATCTTACTAGCAATGCAAAACCTGCAAAAGGTTTTTAAAAAGAAAGTGACATGAGATTTCTTTTCCACATAGATCATTCCCATGGTGAAAATGGGATCATATCCTAAATTCTTCAATTTCAAAGGATGTACCATCTTCTAAAGCCCAAATTGATTCACTCCCCTCCCAGGAGCTCATGGAGCCTAGGTTAAGAACTCCTATCTAAAATGAAGATAACAGCATTGAAGACTATCCCAGGAGAGGCTAATCAATAGGAGCTGATGGCTCTACATTGTGAAAAAGGTAGGGGGAGTGAAGAATAAAAGCATTTATGTTTCTAGCCCTGATGTCTCAACAGACAGAGGTATGACACTGAGACAGGATATATACAAGAAAGAATAGGATAAAGTACAGGCATTTACTTTTTAATACATGTATGTATCTTAGGTATGTTCCTAAACATGCTAATGTAACCCTGGATCCCACTCTTCATAGATTTCCACAATAATCTCAATGATATTTTCAACTGACAATGTCCCCTAATATTTTGTTTATCCTCCTCTGCTCTTCTGTTCTTTAATTAGGTAATGAACCAAAAACAAATCTGCACATGCTATGAAATCTATTTAAGGGAATATTTCTACTAAACTTCCTTCTGGATTAGCATATAAACACCTGTTAATTAACCTGCATGGTAAATTTGGATTTCTCACATCATATCTATTCTCCCAAAGACTCTTTTCTGACCAGCTCCCGCTCTTACCCCCCGGCCCTCAGTCAGAATGAGACCACTGCAACAAGCTTGTTTGTATTTTTACCTTTGACAGCTCTCCCAGGTCAGGGCGCACCCAGCCGAGTTTGTCCAGCACACACTCATCAAACTTTGCCTGCTGTTTGCGACAGTGACGAAATAACTGCAGGCCAGAATAATCAATGCAGGTCCAATATTCTGTAAAAGGCTCTGCACAGTGACGCTTTATCTGCCTGGAAAAGAGGGCTGGGTTAAGGTAAGCTCATTGCAAAAGTGGGAAGAAAGGAGGTACACACCTAAGATACCTCGCCTTGCTTTCTGAACACAATGGGAGTAAGGACTCTTACCTCACTTACAGAACAACTTCAAGATAAGTAAACAAACAAGTTTTCTGAGAAACAGAAACCAATTGCTTTATGCACCAAAAACCAATGGAAAGAAATGCCAAGACTGTATCCTAAGGTGCATGTACTTTACTCAGAAACGAGCTCCTCACCTGGCGCCTAATTATTTTCTTTAGGTCTATGCTAAAGATTATCAGTGCAGCAAATTCAGAAGGGGGCACAATCACAGAGGACATGCTGATGGAAGTCAGGAGTGACAGATGATAGCCGAACATGAGAGAGTTATAAAAGCAAATCAGCGAACTAATTAAAAAGCAGAACACCCAAACTGCCCTCACTGCCCTCGAGTCAAATTAGACTCATGGCCACCCCTCCTTGGGTTTCTGAGGCGCTATCTCTACAGAAGTAGACTGCCCAATCTTCCTTTTGTAGAGTGGCTAGGGCGTTTGAACCACCAGCCCTACACACCTCAAAAACTTAATCTCACTCTACAAATGCACTGAACAAAACAAACAAACAAAAGCTCAGAGATTTGATCCTTGTCATCAAGTAAAAAGTTCAATTATCTTTGGTGTTCTCTGTTAAGAAGCAGGATAACATATAATTCATTTTGTGGCCAACAAAAATGATAGGGGGAAAAGTAACGTTTATGTAAAATGAGTAAGCTTGTTATTTTGCAAAATTTCCCTTCTCTTACCATTCAACCTTGCTAGTAATAACAAATGCAAAGTCAAGCACGAATAAAATACCACCATTTCATGAAAAAGCCAGATTGGTGGCAGTGGAAGAAATTCAGAGCACCTCCTTCCCCCGAATGGAATAATAATTGTAAAATGCTTGCTTACAACACTCCAGCAATCTAGCTGCACAATCAACACATGGGTCTTATTTAACATGTCTGAGGAAGGAAGAATCTCAGAGATGGTCTAAGGAAGCCAATTCACTCACCTTACAGATGAAAATACTGGGGACTTGAGAGGGTATATGAAGTGGCCAAAGTCCCATTCTAAATTTTCAGTATCTCTCTTTCTCTCTGGCTCATCACATCAACTGCCTTTTTTTTGCTTCACAAAGTAAAAGGTTCAAAAGAGTATTACATAGTGAAAAAGAAGGAAGGGACAGACAGACAAGCTGGCACTGAGTGGGAATGCTCTAAACACTTCAGAGGCATTTAAGCTGCATTTTAGTTTATGGTATTTCAAACAATAATTCTTGGAAATAGGAAGTCACTGTGGGGAAAACTGAGTTGAAATGTTAGTTAGAGAGATTTTTATGAAGCATCTGCTTTTTTGGAAACAAACAAACAGAGGAAAAGAAAGAGGATTACAGAGTGAACAATCTGCTTCCCACTTCTGTCCTCCAGCTACTCAGTTCCCCTCCTGGGACACAACCAATGTTACCAGCTCCTGTGTACTCCTCCAGGTATTCTACCCATATCCTTCAGAGTAGGGGGGCGGGGGAGGGATGCAACAGGAAGGAAGGGAGACCAGCAGAGCCCTAGGGAGCTTTGCTGAATTGCCTCCAGCCTCAATGACCTGGATTTCCACGGCACACAAACCTGCACCCACCTCAACCTCTACTTCAGACTCATTCTGAAAGGAAACAACCACATACAATATGCCGGAGCCCAGAAGGGCTACCAACCACCACTCCAGTATTTAAGTCCCTGTCCTGGACTGTTCCTCGGGCACCCACACCCCACAGACAATTGTCTACTAACACGTGCGCCAGCAACCTTAGCAGCGAGAACGTCTTCTCATGCAGGCAGGCAGGCACCGTAGGAGTCTGTGCTATCTAAACACTTCCCATTTAAATGGACTCGCTCTAGGCCAATGGGAAAGTGCTTTGCCAAAGTTCTCTTACAAAGTACATTTTTAAAAAATAATAAACACATTCAACCTCGCTAGCAATCAAATCAATGCATATTCAAGCAAGAATAAAATACTATTTTGTACCTATTAGACATTTAAATAACATGCAATGCTGGTGAAGCTATGGTATCAGGATACAGTGCTGAGGACAGCATAAACTAATCCAATCTTAAAAAAAAA